AAAATATGTTTTGAAAATTTGAAAACTACTTTTTTATAACCACTTTCGTGCCCTCTATCTAACCAAGTACAAAAAAAGACAAAAAAAAAAATTTTACTGTGATTTTGAATTTCCGGCACCTTACTATGAATTCTAACTATGAAAAAGTTCATGTGCTTTTCTGAAAATTTACTTGACAAAGGTATAGATTTCTTAGAATTATTGAAAATTTTGTTTGTAGATGTAAATAATTCAATGTGATAATAGTAAAATGCCAAAATCACGTAGAAAAGGTGATACATCGAAAAATGTAATCAATTCTATTGTACCACCAATTCCACTTCTCGATAGTATTCGTGCACAAATACAAACACCTGATGAACAAAATAATGATACTGAATCAGGTAGCGATAATTTAAAAGTATCGACAGCTGGTTGGCAATGTGATATTGATGATTGGTCTGATAAAAAAGCATCAAATAATGGACCAGATAAATTTCCTCAAACAATTCGTTCTCTTGAACGTAAGAATGAACAAGCAAAAAAAAATAAAATATTTTCATTAACACAGATAAATAATGATGTTGATGAAAATAAAATGGAAAATCAAGAACATATCGATAATCGAATAAAGAAAACATCATCGAAAGATATTGATTTATTAAATTTAACATCAATTGTAAGCGATCTTATTACAGGCAAACGTGATGAATCAGCCTATACAGATTTTTTATCAATACTTCAACATTTTTCTGTACATACATTGCGTGATGATCATCTTGAAGAAACTGTTTATCATTTAATACAAGCAGCAGTCAGTTTTATACGTTCAAATGAAGATCGATTTGATCCATTTAAATTACAAGAATGTTATCGACAACGATCAATTATTAAAACAAATTCTTCTTAATAATCTATTTGAATGATACAAATGTTGAAAAAACAATTGTAGATTGGCTTAATAACTCTTCCATTTATAGAAATAAATAGAAAAAAGAAAATATCAAATTTTGAAGGATACTACACTAATTTATGTAAACATAACAAACATCCAACTTTTTTGAAATGACCAAAAACTACTGCCACTCATAGTCACTGCTAAACGATATATGCTTATTAATATTTGCTTTATATGAATTTTCAAAATATTATTGACTTAGTTAAGAACTTCAAATCGATCTTTTAAATACTAATATTAATATAAGTATTCAGAAATATTTATAGATCTCCATAATCTATGTTTTCACATGAATAAGTGAATTACTTGAAAATTTGTTTGCAATAAGTATATGAAAAGGATTTGAAAACATCCAAAGATGTCTTTTATCAAAAAGACAGTAGTAGCATATCTATCAAACCAATCTTCACACCAATTCTGATTTTTTCGTAATCAGTCTAGTTTTGTTAAATAATTTTGATTCTCGAGATTTTTAATGGACTTTCAAAAAAGTATTGAAATGATTATTCATTAGAGCTAAAACCAATTAGAATGAATTTTGAAAAAAAAATACTAAGAAATGATAACCCACTTCAAAATATGATAACACTCAATTTATATTTAGTAATATTTCCAAACAGATGCTAGTCCTTCGTTGACAAGCGATTCAAAATAGTCATTTTCAAATTGAAAATTATGGTTATTCTATTAATTTTCTTCAAAATTCGACGATGAAATGATACATTAATCACATATCACAGCGTGCTGACAAACTATATGATGAATATCCTTGCTTGAACGATTCTTTCGCTAGGATTCTGATGGAAATTGTAATCTGTGATTAATTAATTCGCTTGACGAGGAAACTACTCAAACTAATACTCACTGTTTGAGCTTATATTGGGTTCACAAAGAGGCTTCGGTAAAATTAGAAAAGTCCTAAAACAGTTTGTGTCCATAGATCTCTGGATCTGAGTTTTCTTTCAAAAACAGGTTGAATGACTAGTAGCATATCTTGAAAGTTTAAGCCAAAAAAGATGTTCCCTTGCCAAGATACTGAATTTTCAAGTAAACTCGATTTTTGTCACATGAGATATGTTCAGATTCCCAAAAAAAGAAATTACCCAAATTTCTGAAGTTTCCATCAGCTCGATAACTATACAGCAGTGCAAATCAAAAGTTCTTAGACATATTGGAAATTTCAGAAATTTCGGAAATTACATCATTTTAGGAAGTAACGTGTAGTTCAGAACACAAATGCTTGAAAGCTCCGAAATTTCCTTTTTCGGAAGTCTGAATACTGCTGTGTGACATATCTGTAGTAAAAGATCATTTTTTGAAACTCGATATCTTGACAAAGAGGCATCTTTTCGGCTGAAACTTTCAGAATATTCTACAAGTGATTCGACCTATTTTTAGGTATTTGTTCTTTGTTGATATTGAAAATTTTGAATTAAATATAATGAATAATCAAAAAATGATCGGTTCTTAATATATTTATAAATACATATTAACATTATTATTTTTGTTGTATTTCTATAACTATTATGGAATACAATGAGTTTGTTTCATTATTTTTAATTCGAAAATAGATCATCCTAATGAAATAATGAAAAATAACAATTCCTAGAATTTTTAATTTACTTTATTTGAATAATCGACTAACGGTGTGAGTATAGATATGAATAACGCAAAAACCTACATTGTTACTCATGCGATTTTTTTTCAACTTATTTATTGTTCAAATTAAGATCGTAAAGACCAAACAGAAGTTGCTTCGTCTGCATATTTTTTTCTTCACATTTTCTTTGCAGAGAAGCGATATGTTTGCATAAGCAACACTTGAATAGTTGCATTCATCTGCACAAAAAAAGTTCTACAAGCAAATGAAGAATGAAGCACTTTGTTGATTGTCATTGATGGATTTTTTCGTATGTGAAAAAAAAACAACATCATTGAACGGTTAATTAGTAGATCGCTGCGCTGTAGCATTCTTGATGTTATTGTTGGTGAACATATACGAAACTTTGTTATAGAGTAACCAATAAGATTCTCAATTGTATGAGGGGTGTCCAAGGACTGAGAAATAGGAATTCTTCCAATTCCTGAAAAACCATATAAAAACATACATAATTTCCAAAGAACTGAGAAATGACCCTCAAGCACCTTACGTTTCCTTAATAATTCCTCCATTAATTTCTACGAAGGAAACAACAGCCGATGGAAATGACCTCATTTCTCAACCTTAATCCTACTCAATTCCTCACATCCAACGAAGGAATTCACCTGCTGACAATTCCTAACTCGAGGAAACAAGGAAATGAAGCGAACTAATCGATAATACTACGAAAGGAACTGACATCAAAATCACCTACAAGCTATAGCTTGTAGGTGATTTTGATGTCAGTTCCTTTCGTAGTATTATCGATTAGTTCGCTTCATTTCCTTGTTTCCTCGAGTTAGGAATTGTCAGCAGGTGAATTCCTTCGTTGGATGTGAGGAATTGAGTAGGATTAAGGTTGAGAAATGAGGTCATTTCCATCGGCTGTTGTTTCCTTCGTAGAAATTAATGGAGGAATTATTAAGGAAACGTAAGGTGCTTGAGGGTCATTTCTCAGTTCTTTGGGAATTATGTATGTTTTTATATGGTTTTTAAGGAATTGGAATAATTCCTATTTCTCAGTCCTTGGACACTGCTGGTCATGTCTAGTCCGTTTTGTCCGTTGATCCCGTCCAGACTAGTCAGAAGACTGAAAGAAAGAAGATGAAAGGTGGATTTGAACATCCAACCCGACAGTATTCGAAATCTGACGGGCATCCTGACGGCAGACTAGGACACTAATACAGACTGCCATCAGTTTACACAGTCTAAATTACAGATTGACTGCTGTCCATCCACTAGACAATTAGAAACCAGTCGATGTCAAACGACTTTGACTAGTCTGACACATCTTTAATAGTAGTCACGACTGGTCCGAAGTGTCGCCAGCACGCGTCGTGACTAGTCGTTTTTTTAAAGAATGTATCGCCTACTCTAGTCTGAAAAACTCTAAACAACTCACTTTCTTCGGACTAATTTATCTTACTAATTTGTTTAAACTAATTAATAATGGGACATCAAAGAAGTAGAATGTAAGTAGAAAAGTTTTTGAGTATCTGTATCATTTATTAAAATTAATTGATGGACAATGAGATGCATTCGGAACATAGATTGAATAACAGAATAACAATAATTTTATTTTCTGTCTTGTACTGAAATTTTCGTAGATGGATAATTAAGCATGATCTGTTATATGAGGTTTACGGAAGTTAATGACATGCATTTATTCTATATTAAAATAAGGTCGATTGTCATCGATGTTATTATAATTTATTTTCTAGCTCGAACGACAATAAGACAGTCTGCCATAATCAATAGTGAGGTTAAAGATAGATGATATGTTGTGAACATTTCTCTCTTGATATATCTTATTATATTTTGTATTTTCATATGTTGAAAATGTAAGAGTATATCTAAATATTAAAAAGCAGGAGTAAATACAAAGAACAATATTTATCTCGTAGCGAGGAGTGCTAATTTATATATTTTTAAGATTTTAGATCTACTCAATTTTTTAAAAAAGCTTTAAAAATAATTTAAATCTTTTTATATAAAATTTGATGTCATTTTATTTTAAATATAAATTCTAATAATTATGAATTTAAGAATTAATATAAACTAAGCAAAGTTAATTTAATTGTTAATTAAAGATACGGTGATTTAAATTTAAAAGTAAACTAAACCATCGCGTGAAAATATCTAGTTTCTTTTCTGTATAAATTGTTTTTTTATTTTTGCATTTGAAATTTATTTTTTTAATGTAATTAATTACTCCTAGTTGATATTTAACCAAAAGATATTTATTCAAAAAATATAAAAATTTTGTAAATTTATTTTGTTTAATGTTGTCTAAGTAATTTCGTATTCTGGCAAAGATTATTTTTTATTCGTATGAGAACTGAAAAAACTTTGAGTGAAACTGTATTAAATAGCATCTTAGAATGACTATGAATATGTAGAAGTTGTTTTCTTGATTATATAGCTCAATGGTCTAAACGATGGGTAAGTGATACATTATATGCATGTTCGAATCTAATCTTCATTCTCTAATATTTCCATTTAGACTAATCCGGACTCGTTCACTACACACAAGACTACAACTTGCTCTATGTACCGTCCCTGACGGCCTTATTTTTTCAGTTTTAGATCCATTTCGGACGGGCGTCGTTGTCGCCCGTCCTGACTAGTCTTTGTCTCAAAAAGTCCTCGACCAGGACTAGTCCGAACGTCTACCATGTATCTTCCTGTTGATTTCCAAATTCATAGTCACGGACGCGTCTTTTTTGAGTAAAGGACTAGTCTTACCATATCTCGTGACGCTCGTCAATCACAACTTTAGGACCAGTATGTATGACGGGTCGAAGTTCAGACTAGTCATGTCATAGTCGATTTTGAGACAAAGACCGGGCATGACGGCTCGACATGACTAGAAAAAGGACTAGTCATTTAACCCGTCGCGTGTTCACTTGGGAAAGTCCTTTACATATTTCGACGTAGAATTGAACGGACTATTGTTTTATACAATCATTTTTTTTTTGAATTCGGTAAAGGTAAAAACATTTAGCCAGAATACAGGTAAAATTATGATTTAGGATCATGTCAAAAACCTCATATTTTGAATTTTCCAATTCACATTGAGCTTTGAAAGAGAAACCATATGTACATTTTTACACAGCAAAACAAGCTCGAATGGAAACAACCATTCATTGAATTATAATTAAATCAAGAGGATCTCTATTGAAAGATAAGTTTTTCATATATGTGTACATAGTATTCTATAATACACATATCGATTGTCTACTTTTATTATAGATAAAAGTCTTGCTACCAATGGATATGAGTTTTATATTATTTGAAAAACAAAATGATGAATTACAGAAAAAGTCTTGTTAGATTAACCATGAAAGCAACGAGAATAACATAATAATTATTTATATAAACATATAGCTACATCATAATAGAAATAATAATTAGCGCCAAAGACGAAATCTTGATATTTCAATATCGAATCGACTATTTGGAAAACGTCTTTGAACCATTAAACGATAAGATTCAACTTTTTCATATCGAATTCTACCATAAATATTCAAATAGACAAGTTGTTTTAATCGTTTTACTAATTGACAGAGATCTTCTTCAAAAATAATTACGTGTTGATCTAAACGAGAAATGTTTATCTTCCCTGATGAGGCTATTTAATTAACGTACTAATCGATTCATGTGTTAATAAAGTTCTGTACCAGTGTATAATCAAACTTTCATGCGATTTTCGTTTAAAAACCGGTCGAACTTAAAATAAAAACCAAAAAGAAGACAATTAGTATGAAACAGAAGTTTTTCAATTGAATATAAAGCCAGGGACAAAAGTTCACTTCATTTTTCCTATCGACGTATTTTTGCAACTGTTTGAGCAATTTCAATCAGTAAATAGTCATTTTAAAGAGCATTTAAAAGTGTACTTACTGTGTAAAAATAAAGGTTCTAGCTCAAGAACTAAGAGAGTTAGTAACGAAAGTTTGTTACATGTGTTTTTGGTTCTCAAAAAATAATGGGTGGAGCAGATTACACGGTCGTATTTGGCATTTCAATGTTTCATCACTCAATATGTTGTATTAAAAAGCAAAATATGTCACAAGATGCAGCATGAAAAGCTCCACAATCTGCAAACTACAGCTTATTTTAATTGTGCACTTTTTGTTTTAAAAAAAGCAAAATTCTCTGCGATCGATTTTCGACGCTATGAAAATATTGTTGTTTTTCGACACATATAATTCATTTCATTTTTTTCATTACCTAATGCATGTTATTAAAAAAATAAAATACACCACAAGATGGAGCGTGAAAAGCTCTACAATTGAAAAAGAAACATTTGTTAAAATTGCTCGCGTAGCTGCAAAAATATATTGATATGTTGCGAACTTTTGTCCCATATATTATTGTTCTTTTATTAACAAGAAATGATTCTTAGTCATGTTTGTTTTTTTAAATCAACCAATTCTATTTGATAAATAGTCTTAAATAAAACAACATTCATTTAATATGTCTTTTTTTTAAAGGTTTTTAACTAAGACTTTAATTATTACCGAATGAATTCAAGCAAGTTCAAGAGAAAAACACAAAAGTTTCTTATTACTAATTCAGAAAATTCTTCTTTTCAACGAAAAGATAATGAATATTATATGGTACTGTAAATGTACCCAGGAGAATCATTCCAACAATCGGATCCGATCGGATTCCTATCGGATTCGATCGGATTTTATTGGAATTTCTATAAATCCGACGAAATCCTATAGGAATCCGGGAGACGATCCTACTAACGGAACCTTAGTGTCTAGACGTTATAGGATCCTACTATCGGATTCCGATAGTAATTCATCGTATAAATATGACTGGTGTCTAGTATTGGGTTAAAATGCTAATTAGCACGTAATTAAGAAAATAGGTTTCGCCCGTCAGATCCGTTAGTCGATCCGTTTTCCGGAATCCCATAGGATTTTGTCGGATAGTCGGATCCGATTGGATCCGGTATCGGATTCATTCACCTGGGTAGATCAAGAACAAGCTAATAGAACATTCTCAAAAATTGCAACACAATCCGTTTCCAGCTGTCATGTTATTTTAATTGATGGTCAATATAAAGATGATGCATTTGCTTATTTATCACATTCATCAAGAGATTATGAAGAATTATCAACAATTACAACTGAACAAGCACGTTCTGAAATTATAAAACATACAGTTGACAAAATCGAAGAATACAATAAATTAAATGAAGGCGAACAACTGAATACTTTGAAAACAAAAATAAACACAGTGCTGGTAGCTGGTGGTGTAGATGAAGGAATCGACCAAGTCAGAAATAGTTTGTTGCTATTGAACAACAGCACCACCAACATCGAAGAACTTTTTAATGCTGGTGACAAACTATCAAAACATCTCTACCATGAATTGAAAGGAAAAATTAATGTTATTCCACCCATCACATACCTCATGTCACGTGACAATGACGACGAGGACGATCAACGTAAGTCAAAAAATATTTTCTTTATTCTTCTTAACCAAAACCCACGCAAAAAGAATAAATGTTAACCCTTTCTTGCCTTTGACTAAACTTGAGGGTTCAGATGGACGATTCGCTCAATAAAAGTAATCTTATGACCCCTAGTATACGTAGGAGAAGTTTGAATCAAATCCATTAAGTGTCAGTATATTAGATACATAATACGTTTGTTATTCTTTTTATTTGAAAAAATGTCTGAAAAAGACAACAAAGCAAGGACAATAGTGTGATTCATATACATATATGAACACCGCATTCACGTCGTGCACTGTCAGTTGCATTGTCGTTTGTTTAGAAATTTGAAAAATCTATTCTTGTAGTTGATGAAATAATTCGAAATGATTAGTTTCAGCGTAACAAAGCCAAACTTTACATTTCTTACAGTAAGTGCTGGTTTTTTTACGACAGCCAGGAAATTGACACCATTTACTTTGGAAATTTTTTGTTGTGCCATTTAAATCTTTCCAACCAGGAAAATGTCCAATTTGATCATATCTTGAAAAGTCATTCACACTAAGTGTCATTGATTGAACACCGGCAAGAGATATAACTAATTTTTGAGCTAAATTCAACTTGAAGTTCAAGAGATCAATGTCAGAAGATGTTATTTGTTTATAAATGAACCACGAGTTGATGATAGAAGAATCCAGAAAATTATAAAAAATTTTCGATACCACTTGTTTCCTTTCAATTCAATTCGATATAAGCTCATGAACATGTCAAAATGATCTACTCCGCCCATGCATTGATTGTATGCGTTTATTGAATATGGGCGTGATATTGTTATGTGAGTTTTACTTTTCCGATCAAATCTTTCGATTTCACCTACAGACAAGGGACCAAAACAGTTCTAGGGTACGTAAACTGCTTTATTATCAAACCACTTTGTAACCACTAAGTGTCCGTCCTCAGTAGTTTGAAAATCAAATGATCCTCTACCCTGTCGTTCCAGTTGCTTATCAGATTTTAGCAAAGACGAATTGAACCGATTTGCTCTCATTGTAGATACTGCATAATATTGTTTGGCATTTAGAAATTTGAGTAATTTAATGGTTGCGAAATAATTATCATAGCCAATAAATGAAGTTTTAGGTAAACTTCCTGTAAGTCGGATCACAACGTTTCCAGCTGCTCCGACTTCTGAGTCTACAATTGTTAAATGATTGTCGCCTTCAACTTCAAACTGATATAAATAGCCTGACTTTCCTGCACGTGCATACATTTTGTAGCCCCATTTATGAGGTTTGGAGGGAATATATCTTTTCAAGCTGCTGAATCCCTTGTGAGGCACTATTTGTTCATCGACACTACAAATTGCCTCTGGAAATGTTGCTGATTGAAACTTTTCATTGAAGTGATTTATAAGTGGTCGGATTTTGAAAAGTGTATCATAATTATGATCAGTTTTTGTTGGTTCATTTTCATTGTTGTTAAAATGTAGGATCGATAAAATTTCATCGAACCTATGACGAGTCAAAACAGATGATATGAGTGCTTGTTTCGTAGGTTTCGACCAATACATTCGATGTCTTGGAAGACGAATTACTGACATATATATCAATACAGCAATAAATTTCCTGATGTCTATCTCTGATACATCAGAAATTTGAAATACCTTTTGGTTTTTATATCTGTTTGATTCAAATGTAATTTTTTTAATCAATGCAGCATCTATAAAATACTCAAACACAGCAAGCGGAGTTTTTTTGGATAGGTTGACGAAATAAGAGACAGGATTCAATTGGCTTTCAGGAAAACAAATTGAGTTAAAAGTTCGACGTTTCCATTTGATTTCTTCTGATTTCTTTTTCTTCGGAGGTGATTCTTGACTATCTTCATCAGAGTTATGATCGATATGATCAATCATATGATCAGTTTCATCGTCTTCGGAATTTGAACTTCCGCTGGGTATCGAGATAAACATTTTTCAGAGTAAAAAAGATCAGAATAACTGAAGCAATAAACTCTTGGTTCACCTGGACGTAATAATCGTCTGATAGTCTTAATAGAAGACTATTTTATTGTATTATTCTGTATCTGATCTGAAGATGCTGTTATATTCACTACACATTTACAAGAAAATGATCTTCACAGGTAATGGTCAGTACAAATACCTGAGAAACGAAGAATGAAATTATACTAAAAATATTGGAATATACTTCAGTCAAATCGAAATGAAAGTGAATGCATTTAAATATACTTCAACGTACAGTTATAGAAAAGAAAATACGACATACGCTATTATCAGCGCGTGACGACAGAAAAGAAAGAAAAAAGAAGATATATACTCCAACGAATATTACTAAAGTAGAACAAACAAATTCTTTCTCTCATGACATGATCATAGTGCGTACCATAACATTATGTATTCATAAAACGTCAAAAATATTATTTTTATAGTAGAGAATAGTTTCAAACTGTTGATTTCGTGTACACAATATACAGACATTAAGTAGATGTAAAATCCTTTTCTAAATGTCTCATAGTTTAAAAGAATCAATTTTTTATAAAATGGTATTTATAAATACCATAGGGCAAGAAAGGGTTAACACGAATAGATATAAATTAATTATAAAAAATATGAAATTAATATAAACATCTTAACATTATTCTACAATTCAACCAGAACTAAATTCACCCTCATCGTCTTCTTCTATAACTATTAATAGATTAATTTCACAATAACAAATTAATCAATTTTAACATCAAGAATATATTCTAATATTAAACATCATTTAATTCTAAAATCAATTGCATAGTTTAATGCCATAGCTCAATTAATTTCTAAACCAGAATCACATTTAATATTGAAAAAAATATTAATGTCTGTATCAGCTGCACATTGTAATATTAAAAATGATTTAATCTTTATATCGGGAACATATTTTCAAATCAGATATAAATTCATTTTTATACCAGAAATATACATTGATATTGAATATAAATTCATTTTTTTATGAGAAACATATATTGATATTAAATAAACATGCATTTTTATATCAGGAACATTGGGTGATATTAAAACTAAATTCATTTGTATAGCAGGAACATATGTTAATATTAAATAGAAATTCATTTTTATATTAGAAACATTTGTTGATATTAAATATAAATTCATTTTTAAATCAGGAACATGACATGTCGATTTACAAGGAATTTTTTTGATATATAGAACCTGCAAATAAGAAAATTGATGAACCTCCAGCTTTGTAGTTGGAATACAACTGCATTTCGAAAGACCTTGAAATCGGCATCGAATGGGTGAGATATGTATCTGAATTTACATTTGCTAAAACTTTTATCAATTTCAAACCAGGTTTTCGTGAAAATCTTTTATGGAAACTGCAATTGAACGAAATCGAATTAGAACAATATCAATTTCGTATAAATCCATTTGATGCAATTAGTTTAGCTAAACCTTTGCGTGAGTATGATGGATTAAATTATGTATGTTTTTTGAAGAAGTATATATGCTCGACGAAATTTTATTTTTTCTGAGAAAATTTTTGGAGCATTATGAGATAAAAATGTGGGTGGGTGTGGGTGTGTGGGTGTGGGTGTGGGTGGGTGTGGGTGGGTGTGGGTGTGGGTGGGTGTGGGTGTGGGTGTGAATATAGTTGTTGACTTGATGCACATCACACACCTACACCCACACCCACGCCCACGCCCACACCCACACCCACACCCACACCCTTAAATTATTTTTAAAACAAATTCGAACTGCAAATGGTGGTATTATCGCATTTATTGATGATGTACATTTAATTCTTGGTGATGAAGGTAAAAACAAACTTTAAATTGTTGAAAGAAAAAGATATTTAAGGAATTGTATTTTTAGGTGTAAATGATGCAGCAAATTTATTAAAATTCATGTTATGTATGTATATTATTATTGTTTTGATAATTCAATAAAAAATACATGTTTAAAGCTGAACATGAAATTTGTTGTATTGGTGCAACAACGTTGGATGAATATGACAAACATTTTGAACAAGATCCAGCAGATCCAGTATTGAAAAAACATTTTCAAGAAGTTTTCATTGAAGAATTAACAGTTGCTGAATCTGTTAGTATTTTGCGTGATGGTCTTAAACGTTCGATGGAATCACATATTCGTTGTATGATTTATTTATTCGATTTTATTTTTTTTTTACATTTATTTATATTCTTCTATTTAGTTCCAATTCTTGATTCAGCCATTGTTAGTGCTGTTGAATTATCTAGTCATTTTATAATATATAAATGTTTACCATATGAAGCAATTGGTAAATATTTTTAAAATTCATAAATTAAAACTTTCTCTTTTCTTTATTAAAGATACTATTTATGGAGCATGTAGAAACATATTCCGTGCTCGAATGGATAGTTCATCTAATATAATTGATCGATCAAAACATGAAGAATTGTCATCAGACGTGACAGAAACAACATCATCAAAAGAAAAAGAAGATATAGCAACAAAAGATGATACATCAGAAATAGATTTAACTGAAGTTAAAGAAGAATCAAAACCATTTACATTAAAACATGAAATTCCAAAAGGTGTTGATTCTACTGTTATTATTGATATCTGTAAATGTTTCATTTATTCAAATATATTTATTCTTGTTGATCTTTAGTTAGTAAATTGACTGATATTCCAGTATCGACATTAACTAAAGCAGAAAATAATCGTTTATCTATAATACGTGAAGATTTACATAATAGATTTATTGATCAAGATGCTGCTATTGACACTGTTGTTGAAACTATTTTAAGAAATCGAGCTGAATTTCCAGTAAAAAATCGACCACTTGCTTCATTTTTATTCTGTGGTAAATAAACATAAATTTCACGAATAATTGTTTTAATTATTTTATTTATTTGTCTAGGTCCAATTGGTGTTGGTAAAAAAACATTAGCACGAGCAGTAGCATTACCATTGTATTATTCAGAACAATCAATATATACTATCGATATGAGTAAATATACTGAAGCTAATTCAATATATAAATTAATTAATATACCAAGAGAAGAATGTAAACTTTTGTTTCTTATTTGAATAAATTACTTTTTTATTTATTTGTAGATAAGGTTGATCCTGAACAAAATAAATTAATAAAAATTATTCAACAAAAACCTTATGCTATTATTTTATTTGATCAAATTGAAAAAGTTCATCATGAATTTTGGAATATTTTATTACGATACTTAGATAATGATAATAAGATAGTAAGTTTAATTTTATGAATTAAAAAGTTTTATAAATTACTTTTTAGAATAAAAAAGCTGATTTTACGAACACAATATTTTTTTTTATATCGAATATTAATGAAGAAGTTTGTTTTTCTTTTCCTGTAGACTTAATAATGAAATTTATTTTTTAAAGATTGATTTACATTTTCGAAAGGAATTTTTCGATTGTTTGAATAATATTATATACTTTCAATCTCCTACTATGGATCGGCTTTGTTCTATGATTCATTTTCGATTAAAATTAATTGAAAAAATTTACGAAAAACAAAATTTTACAATTATTTTAACA